CAAGTAATTCCACAAGTAAATTAAAAAACGGACATTATGTAACAATGGCATTTACTGGAATGCATTAGTACGAGTACGTTGAAAAAAAAAAAAAAAAAAAAAAAACAAAAAATTACGTTTCACCGCAAAAAACAGCCACGCCACACATCATTATATATATAATATCGCGTTACATATATTAGATATATTAAACGTTATAACAGGAATTTAATTGAACAAAATAAATATTTCGTATATTCTTGTCTATATATACGTTTTCTATATAAATAAAACTATAGACGAATACTTTCTTCTAGTAGATTACATCATTCTTAACTACAATGCCACATTACCAATTAAATTATCTTTATGATTCTTTAAATACTGTCCGTAGCTTATATGAAAACTATTGATATATAAAGAGGAAAATCTATCGGTGGACTAGTATTCAAAGTCGAATAACATCATAAAGATAAATTAGATCGCTTTTGAGTGTGATAATTTCTTATACAACCCACATGCAATTCAAAACTCAAAGCAAAACAGTTGCAATTCTTAAAGTTTTATCCAAACCTGTCATCAGAATGCTTTGAAATCATAAGAAAATTTTCTGACAAGATAGTTTTATCGAAAACGACATGTTTATAAAATTTGCTTACATTTAAGAGTTCCAAGAATTCTGGCACCAATTTTAGATAGTACTTGACGAGTTCTACAAGAAATTATTATGATCCAAAGCGATCCAATCATTAATTAAGAAGTTATTCTGTCTGATGTGTGCGACATTTGAAATATTTCCAAGACTACATAGAAAATTTTTTTTTAAGAGTTCCAGAAGTTCTGGCTATGTTTTTCGATAGTAGCCAACGAGTTTTGCAATTAATTATTATGGTTCAAGGCGATCCGATCAATATTTCAGAAGTTATTCGATCTCAAATGCCTGCCTTTGATAACTTTCGATGTCGATTTTTTAAACAATTATAAGTACTTGATATTTTTGCCTATCAGGAACTCTAGAACTCGACACCAAATTTTTTCAAATTTTTTAAATTGTTGAAAAAAATCGAAAACATTTTTTTTTGTATCAGGAACTGTAGAACTCTTCGAAATACATGAAATGAGCTATTCAGAACTATCCGATCTTGATGTGAGGTGTGAAGTTAGCACCCCCCCGTTTTTTAATTGTTTTTTTTTTTGTTAATCGCCGTAACTCCTTTTAGGAATATAAGAGTACTTCTATATTCTTCGAAATAAAGCTGGAATTCTAATCAGAACTATCGAGAGCTAAAGTTGGGTTTGTTAACTTCACACACCCAAGTTGCAGCCGTAAGTCGCTAGTGTGATACGGGTATAAGGTCGAACGACTGGCGGCGGAAGAGCCGTGATTCGACATTGAACTCGGCGAGCGAGTTTTCGCGGCGATTGATGCGTTTGTTGAAACGGGGACGGCCGAGTCGCGGGCTTCTCGAGCGATGATTCGGATTTCGGACGTTATGTCGAACGGCACGCGAACGTGTCGAAAGGGTTAAATTTAGGGGCATTCTTCATCTCGAAGGCATCTCTCCGGGTCTCCGCGTTGATCGGCAATATAACGTACGCGCGCGCGCGTCGAGGCAATTTTGTTGGAAGGCCGAATACCGTTCCGTGACTCAGAGATCCCGTGTTTGTTTATGCGCGACGGAGTATCCATCCGGCACGATTTGCCGAAAGTTTCTCTCTTTCTCTCTCTTTTCGCAACTCTCGCCAATACGTGGGCTGCGCGGATTTGTAGCGGGGTACTCTTGTCGCACGTTCCAGCGGACTGCAACGAGGACGGACGAGACGCGGCGATCTGCATCCGCGCAAATACGCGTGAGACAATGATGTGTGTCGTATACCCGTCGCACAGTCGCCGGGAATTCAGCAGTTCCTGTCAATTATGTAACGCGGCTTCGTATAAAAAGCCTCGCTCGCTCCCTTCCCTCGACGACGTGGCTTCCCGTTGATTATCTGCTCATTAATGAATTCGACAGTCACGCTCACTCGCAACCCGCATACTCGTGTACGAAGGATCACTGTAGTGTTGGTTATTAGTTAATTCCGATTATTGCAATCATTTATCAATTACGAGACTTATGTCTTGTGTATATTTTGTTCATAGTTTTAAAAGCTCGGAAAAACCTGTTCTTTTTTCCTATTTTTTCGCGGATTTTTTTTTGCTTTCTCATCTTCTTTACGGGAAAAAGTAAATGTATTAAGTGCTCGAATTAATTCTTGCTGTTGACTAATAGAGGACAGTAGTTATGCTATTTCAACATGGCCGAAAGTGACTGTTGATGTACTGTCAATAAGCTTTAATAATCAGTATGTGACATTAGATCGTAGTGCAAAGAACACAATTTTTTATCGCATTGAAGATGTTGGATTTCGCACCAAAAAAAGAGCATTTACGAGAAGCATTACTTTTCTGCTTTCATCTTAAGAAATTTGCTGCTGAAAGTCATCGTTTGCTAGTGGAGGCGTATGGAGAGCATGCTCTATCTGAAACAACTTGCAGAGATTGGTTTAAACGATTCAAAGGCAACGATTTTGAATGATAAAGAGCGCCCTGGTCAGCCGAAAAAGTTTGAAGGTGCAGAATTGAAGGTATTACTGGAAGAAGACTCATGTCAGACGCTCAAAAAGTTGTCAGAAATACTAAATGTCGATGAGTCAACCGTTAGCAAATGTTTAAAAAGAATGGGAATGATCCAGAAGCTAAGAAACTGGGTCCTACATGAATTAAGAGAAAGAGACATTGTGAAATGTTTAACCATTTGTGAATTGCTGCTTCAAAGATAAAAACGGAAGTGGTTTTTGCATCGAGTTGTGATTGGCGATGAAAAATGGATTCGTTACGACAATTGTAACCGCAAGAAATCATGTGTGCGTCCCGGCGAACCATCAACGCCAAAATAGGATATTCATGGAAAAAAGGTCATGTTGTGCATTTGGTGGGATCAAGTCGGTGTAGTGTATTATGAGCTGCTGCAACCGAATCAAACCATCAATGCTGAATGCTACCGACGACGATTACTCAATTTGAATGGAGCATTCAAAGAAAAACGCCCACAATATGCCAAAAGACATGACAAAATTATTCTTCTCCATGACAATGCTAGACCACATGTTGCAACACTAGTGAAGGAAATCTTGAAGGCACTTGGATGGGATATCTTACCCCATCCGCTCTATTCACGTTGCTCCTTCAGATTACCATTTGTTTCGGTCGATGCAGCATGGCTTTTCTGAGCAGCACTTCAGTTCTTTCGAAGATAACAAAAAATGGCTTGATGACTGGATCGCCTCGAAAGAACCTGAATTTTTCTACCGCGGTATCCACTGCCCTAAAAGTAGGAAAAGGTTGTAGATTCCGAAGGACAATACTTTTAATAATGTACCGTTCTTTTGAAATAAACATGAGTTTTTGTAGCAAAAAACAATGAGAATTAATTCAAGCACCTAATACTCAATTTTAACCGAACACACGTGAATTTCTAAATGAATTTTTTTACCCTTGAGATAAAAACCAAAGGAACCTGCGGGAAAAACTTGGTTTTTTCCGAGTTTTCTAAACTATAATTTTATTCGCGACATATTATTCGGAAAATGTGTAAGTTGTTGAGTGATCGTTGAAAATTAATCATAGCTTCAACTTGTTCTCGGGGACGAGAATTCGAGCAATGTTCACAAAGTGTCGACGTGTGCGTCAGCATTGAAGCGTTCGATCTCTTGATGAATATCGCGGTGGGCTATTTTCGGACAAAATGTATTTTCCTCTCGGCCATTCGACTCGGTTTCGCTTGTTTGCGATTTGGAACATCTCTTTATTTCGGTTTGCCGTGGTTTTGTGCGCTAGGGTCAAGGAAATTCTCGTTGTGGTGTCGCGGACGATGAACAATAAGTCAACTGTATGAATGTAATCGGTAGGTAAATCTCAAGGTAGGAGCGAACGTTGACAATCGTGACAAAGAGCTACTGAGTCACGTTTACGAGCGAAACTTTCGTGTCATTGTTGCAAGAATTCACTTGCAACCTACATAATCTAGAGTTTCTGCGCGCTCTATAGCAATTAATACAGGAGAACTACTTATCGTGCACCTATTTGGAAATATTTTACATTGGTGACTGACAACATTTTCCGTGTGTTATCCCGCTACATAATAATAACAATAATAACTTTATTAGTCGTTACAAGCAAAGGAAACAAAAATACAGAAAATGAAAATAGAAACGTTGACCAAAGAGTGGGACAGCAAAAGAAGCTGATATAACTGCCTAATCCAAAATATACTTTCATCATATTATATTACACGTAAAAAAATTAGTATAAATTCACCCATATAATCATATATAAGGAAAAATATAAAATCTTATGTGAAATAAAATTTGTTTACATGAAGAAATTCTATAGAATTCTACTAAAAATGTTATATATATTCTTGTTATTCAAGAACAATTTTCATGAATTGTGAGGACAAAATATTAGATAGATAAAACAATATCTTCAAACTAAGAATCAATTTAAAGGTATCGTTCTTCCTATCCAATATTTTTTCCTCTCAATTCGCGAAAGTTACTCTTGAATAACAAAAATGTGATATTTTTGGTGGAACTATACAGAATTTCTTCATGTAAGTTTTATTTTTACATTAGATTATTCTTGTTTACATATGAGAGTGTGGATCTTTTGAATTGATACTAATTTCTCTTCCGTGTACATTACACGTATATTATTTCTTCTCTTTGAATCCCAACGGTAATCTTTAAATATTTGACAATTCATCACTTAGTCGCGTAATAATTTCATTGCGCTGTACAACATTGTGCCGCTAATAACGCGCAGGTTAACAGAAGATCAGCGAACGAATTAGGAAATTCTCGGATAATCACCCGTAACTTCGTCATCCGTTTAGACAGAATTGCGATGACGCGAATTTTCCGACTTCCATTCACAAGTTTATTTATGCAACTCATTAACGAACGTGCGTTTCTTGTTGCAGAGCATCCTGTGAATAGACGGGGCCTTACCGTCAACGATGACGACAGCTGGAGAGGGAATCACCGTCACTCTTTGTACTTTCCCGTTGCGGTTCCGGATGAGGAGGAGGACGTCACGGTCGACCACGCGTCTCTGCGATTCCTCTTACAAGGTGATCACCGACGTCCGCGCAAGCTGGAAGTCCTGGCCTACCTTCGAACGCCGGTGTCGCGGCGTCTCCTCCTGCGGAACCGGATCCCGCAGACGAGCTCGTCCAAGGACTCTCGTTGGCTGGAATTGGATTCCACTGAGGTCGCCGCGATCTGGCTTGAGAAGGATCCCGAAGAGAACCACGGCCTCGAGCTGGAGTTCCTACACGACGGCCAGCCGATGCGCCGTGAGATCTCCCACGCGAGGCTGAACGTTTTCACCACATCGGACGACGACGGCGTTGCCGGTCGAAGACAGAAACGGTTTACACCCGAAGAGCTGCTGCAACGACACGTGCGGCGTAGCGAGTGTAAGGGCTACAACAACAAGAGGTGCTGCAGGCACGAGATGACGGTGATGTTCAAGGACCTGAAAGGCTTCGACTTCATTGTTTTTCCGAAGAGCTTCGACGCGGGCTACTGCAAGGGTCGTTGTCCACCCTTGTATAATCCGGCGCATCATCACGCGCTGTTGCAGAGCCTGCTGTGGAAGGAGGACCGGAAGAGGGTGCCGAAGCCGTGCTGTGCGCCCAGCAAGCTCAACGAGCTGATGGTCGTCTACTTCGACGAGAAGAAGCCCTCGGAGCTGCAGGTGTCCTACTGGCACAACATCACGGTGGAGGAGTGCGCCTGCTCCTAAGCAAGCTGGAGGAGAAAGAGAGAGGAAGAGAAAGCGTAACAGTCTACCATCGCCGAGGACTCACCAAAGAATCGTCCGAATTGTGGTTCGGTGCTGCCGCACGTATTTGCGATCATGACGAGCCCCTCTCGCACAGGAAACTCGAGTTTTCTTCGAATTCCTTTGATCCATTGAAATAAGTCACAAATAACGCGATAATATATTAATAATGTTATATTAATATATCATTACCATTATATATATATATATATATATATATATATA